TAAAATCAAATTGGTAGCTGATCTCAGAAATGATCTGCAATCCATTGTTAACTGGAACAAGGAATGACTTGTTAATTTTAACGCCTTTAAAAACAAACTACTCTTTATCAATCGTCTGAGGCAACCTTTTGACCTTCCATCAGCAGAGCTGGTGTTCTCGACCAATTGATAGGTCTACTGCTAAGAATGTTAGTTCACTGTATCGTACTGAACAATTTTTCTTGCTTGAATCGATCTCACATAAAGCTACCATACGTCCATGCTTTAAATATTGCTGCCACGTCTGGTGTCCCTGTTATATATTTAGAGATTCTTGATAAAATCCAAAGAAATATCTCCAATGTTATTGGTCCTAAAATTTGATCTCGGCTTCAGTCATTTACCCACCAGAGTAATGTAGCTTCCACGTTCCTTTTTTATAAATACTTTCATTGTAATTGCTCTGATGAACTTTCCTCTATGGTACCTTGAATTAATGAATTTGACTGCAGTACTAGATTGGTGGTTAGGTCTCATCATTTTAAAGATGAAAATGTTAGACGTAGCCGTAAGGTCTATGCTAGTAGTTTCTTCTATCGTCATTCTCGCTTATGTAAATCTCTTCCAGGTTTTTGCTTCCCAGACATCTTTGATTTACAAAAATTTAATGCAATGCAAACGGATATCTTTTGTCTTCTTAATTCCTGTTCTTTTATTGTTCTCTTTCTTTAAGAGGTTTTTTTTATATTTTCTAAAACTCAATAATTCCATGTGTCTTTGTAGCTTTATTGCCTTACTTCAGGTGAAATGATTAAAAAAAATAAAACAATGGCGTTTTTATTGATTTTATTTTTTCTGCTCTTCTGGAACAAAGAAATAACGTGTCCCTGACTTTGTTTAATATTTATTTTCTCAATATCACACATTCTGCTCCTGAAAAGGTAATAATTACTTTACTAAGAAGCAATTAATTATTTCAATAATCATTTCATAATTTCTCAACGAAAGATTTCCTTGAGATCAAATTTGATTTTTATCGATTGGACTTTAGCCAAATATCTTCAATTAGTGATTTTTGCCGACAAAGGAACAATTGAACACATATTTCAAATGGAAATACCTATGTAAGATAAAAATCTGCTTGCTAATTTAATCGTGAACAGTAACACAATATATAATTTATGGTGATGTCAGTGGCACGTGACAAGTAAGCAACATTTTTCATTGGCTCAATGTATCGTCAGTCGTTGAATACATTTAAAAACCACTTTTCCAACCTTGAAGATTTCGTTCGTTTTTTTTTTTTTTTATCTATATCGTTAGATATAATTATATTGTTTCAAATATGCTATATTTATTTATCGGGATAAAGCATTTCAAGAAATAATCGATATAGTATGATGAACGCTTAAGTCATTTAAAAATATTACATAACTGTCAAATTTCACACCATCAGATTATTTCAGTATCTGTCTATATTACTGAGATGAGGTATTATGTACATTATTTACATTATTTGGACTATTGTCTTCATCTTTGTTGCCATGTTTATTACAACATTTCGGCCCTTCAGTATCTGTCTGTATTTCTGAGATGAGGTATTATGTACATTTTCTACATTATTCAGACTATTGTCTTCATCTTTGTTGCCATGTTTATTACAGCGTTTCGGCCCTTCAGTATCTGTCTATATTTCAGAGATGAGGTATTATGTACATTATCTACATTATTCGGACTATTGTCCTCATCTTTGTTGCCATGTTTATTACAACGTTTCGGCATTTCAGTATCTGTCTCTATTTCAGAGATGATGTATTATGTACATTATCTACATTATTCAGACTATTGTCCTCATCTTTGTTGCCATGTTTATTACAACGTTTCGGCCCTTCAGTATCTGTCTATATTACCGAGATGAGGTATTATGTACACTATTTACATTATTCGGACTATTGTCCTCATCTTTGTTGCCATGTTTATTACAACATTTTGGTCCTTCAGTATCTGTCCATATTTCTGAGATGAGGTATTATGTACATTATCTACATTATAGTCCGAATAATGTAAATAACGTATCAGATGATTTGTATGTCCGCACTATTTATACATAGTCGACACCCGGTCGCATTCGAGCATCGGGATCCTCATCCACTTTCCGTATTCGCTTTCTCCTCCCTCTCGTGACAGGGGGTGGGGACAGAGATGGCAAAAGAGCAGGAGTCAAAAAGCAGTGTGGATGGTGTACGCGGCTCGGCGAGTCGGCTCGGCGAGTCGGGCCCTCCTGACAGCATGTCGCAAATCTTCTTAGTGTTGACGATTGGTCTCAAAAGTCTCTTATTCCCACCTCGGATGCTCCTATGCCAGGAAAGCCGATTTGCAGAAATGGTTTCCCAGGTCTCAGAGTCAATGTTGGCCTGTGTCAAGGACGCTGTCACGTGATCCTTGAAGCGTCGTTTTCGGCTTCCGCGTAACCTCTTGCCGCTGGCGAGTTTTCTAAACAGGATGATACATAGGAGAAGGGTGAGGATTAGACTAGGGGATGCATTCTGGACACGTGACCTGCTTATACATAGATACATAAGCTTGTAAATACAAATAATATATATATATATATATATATATATATATATATATATATATATATATATATAAATTTGATTTAATTAGAAAACATACAACCTTAAGGATCCATTGATTATATTTTATTTCCCCAGGTAGGTGTTTTTTCCCTGGTTCATCCGATTATATTTCCAAGGGTAAAAAAAAATGATTTTAAATTTATGTATTATTTTTATACAATTTGAGGGGTATTTTTAAGTCAATATAAGGTGATAGAGAGAGGGGAAGAGGAGTATTAAAGAAATTAGAGAGTGAAGGAGAGAGTTAATAAGTTATCTCACAGGAAACGGGACAAAATAGAATATATATATATATATATATATATATATATATATATATATGAACGATAGAAAGAAGAAATGGTGTAAAAATCCACAGTCGCTGCCGTATTCTCCACAGTCGTTAATGATGCCATGTCTATATTTTGGTTTATCGTGACATGAAACGATATCTCACGATATCTACCTTCTATTTTTCTATTTAGCGTAAATCTGACATTTAATTGCTTAATTCAAACATACCCACAAGTATGTTAATCTCACCTTTTGCCCCACTTTTAACTTTAGGAAAAGAGGTAACGATTTGTTTTTAATTTTCCCTAAGTAATCATTTTATAATCAGTTACCTAGCATTGCCTACCATCGCCTGAGGAAGTACAATCATAGTATCGAAACATGAAAAATTTTGTGTACCGATTTAAAAATGTTTTTATAATAATCTCCTATAATAATAATAATAATAATAATAATAATAATAATAATATATACATATATATTTGTGTATTTAGGCAACAAATACTCTTTTAGACATGTCTGATTGAATAAATTACAAACATTACGTTTGCTTAATTTTATCACAATCTTTCATACCACAAAAATAAGTGATTTTGTTTCAAATCTTACGTTTATTTTCTAATATATATATATATATATATATATATATATATATATATATATATATATATTCATTAATGCATGATTCATTAAATAATATAGACAAGTTTTGTCTATTTATGTTAAGTAAGTTCCGTTTATATTGTCTGATAAGCATAATCACATTATCGTTGAAAGACGAAAGGAAAACACTATATTGATACATGTTTAAATCCAATCTAAGCTTTCGGCTTACAAAAGCCAGTATCGAAAATGACAATTTCAATAAATCAAACAACTTCTGTTATAACACAACTATACTTAAACATGAAAACACTAAACAAAAATAAAAAAAATTCTTGAGGCTTTATACATGAAACATAACCTGAACAAAATGAACTATGAAATCTCCACAAATATCCTTAAATGCCTATAATTTATAATAGAATCCATGAATTTATACCAACGGCTTCCCATACTTAATACTTCTCGTTTTTCACTCTCGCGTGGTCGTGTGACATCACGAGCTGCGACGCGATTTTCGCTTCCGCGTCTCGTATATATGAGTTTGTCGTTACTTGAAATTTTCATGCAGCAAGGAAGGACTGTCATTGTTGTAACGTCCGTTGTTAATTAATGAAAAATTGCTGCCTAAATATACACTATATATATATATATATATATATATATATATATATATATATATATATATATATATATATATATTCTGTGTATTTTAGAGGGAAATCTTCTTTTCTTTAAGTTAAGTAATAAAACCAACAGACGTTACGTCTTGTTTTGATTCATTTTACTGATGGTCTTTTGAAAATTACAAATAATTCTTCTCAGACAAGGAAGAAGTTCACTTCAGAAGTAAAGTACATAAGAAAGTAAAGTACAAGAGAAAGTAAAGTACATGAGAAAGTAAAGTACACGAGAAAGTAAAGTACAAGAGAAATATATCCTGATACACGCAGGAGGTAAAGTGTTTAGTGAAGTCATAATTTTGCCTGTCACGGTCGAAACGTCTTGAAATTGTCAGTCTTATTTAATGAATAGTCTCCATGGCAACACAAGTCCCGAGTGAATTACGGAAAGCCATCTGACTGTTTCAAATATTTTCAATCGTATTCATCTGCGGCAATCTGTTTACCATTATATCTGGTTAGACTTATTAAAAGTAATTCAGCTGTGGTTTGACCTGGAATGGATAGGTTCCGCCAGGTCTACTTGTTCGGTACACGCTGTGTATAAATACATGTCTGGATTTCTACCCAGATATGTGGATGGAATTGGTCAGGTGTTCAGTTGCGAAAGACTCTAAGATCACACTCGATCATGGAATTGATGATGATGATGATGATAATGATAGTGGTGATGGGAAGAGACTAATTCTTACCAGGGTTTATAATGCTTACATATAAAGTGTAAGTCAGATCAGTTTGAGTTGAAGGTTGATACAGGCTTTCTCAGCAAAACTTAAACAATATAATCTGATCCGAAATCAATGAGGTCGAAGCAATGTTTCACAAGGAAGAAGGAAAAAGGGGAAAAAAAGAAAGAGAAAGAAAATACTTCTGGAAGAAAAAAATTATAAACGAAAAGAAAGAAGAAAAAATATGAACTTAAAATAACGTTATGGGTAAAGAGCAAATATTTTGGAATGTATAGATCTTGGGGATTGGCAATTCTTCTGAATGCCTGCTTTTGCAATTAGAAATCAGGATTGTCCACTCTGAATGTAGAGAACCCAGTAGGCCATATGTCGTCTGACATGTAACGTGTTCTAAGAGAATTGCAGGAAAAGAAAGAAAATAATGACGCATTGGAAAAGAAGCTGTGTGAAAAGGAAGGAATGCTATGAGAAAATATGAAGGAAGAGAAAAAGAAAAGTAAGCAAATAAGAATGCTCAATAAATGGATTCTATGGGAATGCAGTGACAGTCTAAGAGTTGGACGTTTTGAAGTGTGTTCACCCATTTCTTGATCGAATAGTGACATGTACTGAGAGATGGATCGGTTCAGTGGCTTGATCATGGAAAAGGACCCAACCACTTGACAAAACCGAAATTTGCCCAAACATGGTGACAGTCTGGCGTGATAGATTACAATTTTCAGCAATCTAACCACAAGACATCGCTGCCAAAGTTTATTGTCAACAACTGGATGAAATTCACATAGAGTTAAGTTATAAGACCAGCACTGCTTAAATGATGACGTCCATTTCTACTTTATGTCACTGCTCGGCCATATGTTAGGATGACACTACAGAAACTCACTAACCTGGGATACTAGACGTGGTCACATCTAATATGTTCCACTAATCTATTGCCTAAAAACAAACAGGTTTGTTAAAGCATCTTGACATTTAAAAAAAAATCCAAACTATTTCCCGTTGCAAAGAAGATGCAAAAAAATTCAAAGATTTCTTGGAGATCAAACCTTTAGAATTTTATCTTGAAAGCATAAATAACTTTGTAACTTGATGGCATAAATGAATAGATGTTCAGGATTCCTAGTTTGACTGATTTAATCACTAATTAAATATATTAATTTAGGAATAAAATTTGTTTCTAAATTCGGACATTATTTTCCGAAAAATTAACATATAGAGAGAGGAAGGAAGAGGAATAAGAGTTCCTAACATGACCTACTTTGATTGTCTAATAACACTAAAGAACATCTATCTGCATGAGGTGTGCTATCACTAAGCAGGTTCCAACTATATATATATATATATATATATATATATATATATGTGTGTGTGTGTGTGTGTCATTATCAAACAAAAGTAGATTTTAGTTAGTATTGATGATACATTCCAAGACACTAAGATATACAGATATATATATATATATATATATATATATATATATATATATATATATATATATATATACGACGACGATATACGCACATACACCCACATATCTGTAAAAGGATAATATGAATAATGACAAAAGGAAAACTCGTTTCGCCCATTAATACATGTTTTAACCGACATGAATTCTATTACTATATATAACTGATGGTTTTTGTGTTTGTGGTTATTCCAGTCGAATCCATTACATTCACTTACGTGCTGATACCCTTGGGAAAGGTGTGAATCCTCTTTCTTCTCTCTCCAGCTATGGGTAAATAGAAGGACAGACTGGGTTCTATAGCTTTGGATGGCAACTGGTCTAGGAGAATGAAAACTCTGAATTCAAACCTGCTCTTAGAGGAGGGTGAATGGAGTCTCTCTGAGCCTTGGTTGGCAATCCATTTAGTGTTGGTGTCACGATAAAAAAACACCCTTGATGGCCCTAGCGAAGCATCAAGAATTCAGCTATTTGACAAGATTATGAACTACACCAATCAAAGTATTGGTGAGTTCAATCTCGGCTGAGGTCGCAAGATGATGATGATGATGATTAAACAATGAAATTTATATATACAGACCTCACGATTAAAAATCTCTTTCGCGACAAGGATCGAACCTGGGTTTGCATTTTAATTCATGAAATCAACTTCGGAATAGGTGTTACTTCAACCATTAAGCTACAGGAAGCGATGATGGAAAAGTCTAGCTTAACATATTTAATAAATATTAATCTTTCGTCGGAACGTTTTGAAATCTATTTCATCTCTTTTTGCTTTCGTAACCGAAACGTAAATAAACTATTAATGAACTTTTTTAATTCGACATTTTTCCTTATTCTTATCCTCCATCTTTAGGCAAACAGGCATTAATTTCAGTGTTTTGAATCTGCGTTGTCTATTTAAATACATCTGTTCATTAAACAAAGCGTTTGTAAGAATAAGAAATATATATGTGTGTGTGTGTGTGTTACATATGAATATAAAAGTGAACATTGAAATCAATACTCAGAGGTGACAGGCTGTTTCATGCTAAACTCAATTCTCAAGCCGTCTAGCATGAAACAGCCTGTCGCCTCTGAGTATTGACTTGAATGTTCACTTTTATATTTATATTTACATACGCTCTACCTCTGATATTGAGCACTTTATCCCATAAATATAGCATAGCACAACTTAAAACTATATTTCTTCATATATGTTAAGTATATATATATATATATATATATATACACATGTATAAATAGATAGAGTGAGAGAGAGAGAGAGAGAGAGAGAGAGAGTAATTGTAATATTAGCATTAACTGACCGAACGGCCAATGCAATTTTTGGTTGAAACAAAATTTTTCTTTTAAAACAATTCCTCAAGAAATCAGGTTTCTCAAGATCAATGACTGTTATTGAGATTTCCAGTATTGATGGGTGGGTGGGGAGATTCCTTAATAACCATTTTTTTTTCGAAATAGTCTGGAACGTCAATATCTTGATTATGTGATCATTTTCTTTTAGAGTTTTAAGTTTTATCCATTTTACTTGTTAATGTTGTTTAAAGTCCGTAATTGATATGGTTTCTTTTATTTGCCACATCATCTCAAAACTATCCAAAAGTTCTATATATCCGAGCGCTTTCGGCTATTTTGTAAGCCATTATCAAGGATGCCGTCGTTACATGTAGATGAGGCTAAGATTATAAATATTATAAGAAATATTAGCATCGTCATCGTCAACATCAACAACTCACCTGCAAGTTCCAAATTATAGAGAATCAATCTTATTTATGAATTGACATGTCCCTTCAGGAACTGAGTTCCTGATCAAACCAAATTCATGAAGAATTATATTTGAATATAACACTACATGCCTATGAAGTAGACTCATGTTATATCTCTATGACCATATTTCAGTTAGGACCCATTTAAACGCACACAAACATTTACCAAATTCTGTCCCCAATATACTCATAGAAAATACGATTATAAAAGCCTGATCCACATCTAAAAACGGCTAGAAATAGTAGAAGCTGATGAAAAAAATCTAAACACGGCCACAACCTGCTAACCGTGTTTGGAAAAAATCCCACCACCATACATACATAAAAATCTTATAGAATATTTGGATATCTTTAAACACTTTATGTTCAGAAAAGAAAACACTTGAAAAATTGAATAAAAAGCTTAAACGTTGTACATTATCAGTCGACTTTAAATTGGTATACTTGGGGATTTCTTTAAGATTACAGAAAGAAAATATATTTTCCTTGTTACTGATGTTGTTCTCATTCTACAATGTTTCAGCCAGTCCCTTATACGGCCTTCATCAGTATATCAATATAGAAAGAGAAGATTTATTTTCTACTGTTATTGTGACGTATTAACGATGGCAAGTGAACATCCAAGCGTTAACAGGAACGCTTTAGGTGTCAATTATTGAAGATTTACCAACGCGTGCAGAGTACATCTCTTCTTATAATTGCTAACATGGTGATGTTTTTTAATACTTTTCTTCGTTAAGCAAGAATTCTATGCTGTGACTCTGTTGAGAAATGAAAGTTACATTGTGTTATGAACCATACTGACCTGACTTGTTAGATAACAGAATCAATTATACATTTTCGGTTTAGTTTGTTAGTATAATAATAAGTAAGAAGAAATATTATTAAAACTACATTTAGTTGAAAAGAAAGAAGAAGACGGAAAAGAAGAAAAAAGAAAAAGAAAAAGAAGAAAAAGAAGGAAACGAAGAAGAAGAAAAATAAAAGAAGAAAAGGAAGAAGAAGAAAAAGAAGAAAAATAGATAAGGCGAAAGAGAAAATAGAATAAGAACGAATAATATTGAAGAACGAAAATGAAGAGGAAAAAACAAAAAAGGTTTTATAAAACAATAAGACGGAAGCAAGAAGAAGAAGAAGAAGAAGAAGAAAAAGAAGAAAAGGACAGCAGTAAAAACAAGAAAAAGAAAAATGAAAAAGAAGAAAAAGAGACGAAAGAAAATCAGGAAAAAAAAGAAGAAAATGTAAAAGAAAAATAAGAAAGAAAAAGACATAATAAAATATAAATAAACCGAAAAAGGAAAAGGAGAAAGAAAATTAGAAGAAAAAGGAAAGCAATCCCGTTTAAAAAAAAGAAAATAAAAATTAAAAAAAAGATAAAGTAAACATGGAAAAGAAAAGAAAAAATAGGAAAAGAAAGAAAAAAGAAAATAAAAGACATCAAGATATAGAGGAAAAAGAAAAAAAACTTGGAAGGGAAAAAGAAATCAGGAAAAGAAAGAAAGGTGTAAAAACATCAGTCGAAGAAGAAGTAACAGAAGAGAAAATGACAGCGACTGAAAGCGAGGCTGAGTGGAGTGCTACTGACGCCAGATGAAATCTTCTTACAGCAGAGATGGATTAATTTTCCCTATTTCTTCGCCAAAACGACTTGTTAGTTCGCTTGATGCTTCTAACCTTTACAGACGTCCACACTTTTCTTTATTTCAACAAGCCGACGTACGACGTACGCCATCTTTCTGAAGGGGATTATCAGTGAGTTGATCCTAATCCAAACATTTTCAACTCACCTTACTTTTTTTATTTTTCTGGTTTCTCGTTTTCCATCAAAGTTGAAGGTGTGAGAAGAATCCGGTATCGTTTGAATAATAAAGAAAAACATGCAGTATGGTGGGTGGGGGATCGTGACATTAAGGCTTCTACGGTCGAACTAGTTCCACAGAGGCTTACTGATATTGATAAGGTCCCATGACAATGGACGTCATTGAGAGCTTTAAGGATACACTACCTTTGAGCTGAAAATGGAGGTAGTTAAGAAACCACACACACACACACATGCATATGTGTGTGTGTGTATGTGTGAGTGTGTGTGTATGTGTATGTGTGTGTGATTTTTTCACTACCTCCATTTTCAGCTCAAAGGTAGAGTATCCGTAAAGCTCTCAATGCTGTCCATAGTCAAGGGACCTTATCAATATCACTAAACCTCTGAGGAACTATATATAGCAGTGAACTACAGAAATATATATATATATGTGTGTGTGTGTGTGTGTGTGTGTATAAACATATATATATATGTATATATATAATCATATATATATATATATATATATATAAAGAGAGAGAAAGAGAGAAAGAGAGAGGAGGAGGAGAAACACAAAAAGAGAAATAGGTGAGGCAAACAAAGATCATTACTTACCACTTCAAGCCGTGTACACCGCCATGTTCTTTACCAGATCGGAAGAGCGTAGATTGCTGGTGAAACGTGACTCATCTGTGGTTGGACAATCAATTGCCAAGATGAGTCGCAATGTGTGATTAAAAATGAGGAAAATTGTGGCTGACGGATGGCACACAAGTCAGTAGCCGATCAGTATTGGCCGGGTCACCGTGGAAAGTAGGTATTTATATCCTCCTCGAATTATCACTTCAGTCGTAAACTGGTAATATATATATATATATATATATATATATATATATATATATATATAGAGAGAGAGAGAGAGAGAGAGAGAGAGAGATTTTACATGTGGACAAAAACAATTACCCACTACAAAGATGCATTCTTGTTTTGATACCTTATTGCATCTCGACTGGTCGGAACTAAAATTGGTTAATGGTTATTGCTCTTCTCTTGGTATTGAGCCCTTTTTTGGAATTAATGCCGTGAACGTTAGATTTTACATTATTCTCGTTCTCATTACACCTGGATATATATATATATATATATATATATATATATATATATAGATAGATAGATAGATAGATAGATAGATAGATATATAGATATATATATAGAT